GTGCCCAGCCTCCCAGGACACGCAGCTCAGCTGGGTTTTTGCTGAACTCCTTTGGTTTCCAGACCAGCTCGTACCTGCAGTGTTTCATTAGGCCAGTTACCTGCCATGAACCCCACGTCCTCTGTGCTAGAACAACCCTCCACAGGGCCCCAGGTTTATAATGACAAAGAATTCCTCTCTATGAACTAACTTCTCTGGAGTGACAGAGCCTCCCAGGACACGCAGCTCAGCTGGGTTTTTGCTGAACTCCTTTGGTTTCCAGACCAGCTCGTACCTGCAGTGTTTCATTAGGCCAGTTACCTGCCATGAACCCCACGTCCTCTGTGCTAGAACAACCCTCCACAGGGCCCCAGGTTTATAATGACAAAGAATTCCTCTCTATGAACTAACTTCTCTGGAGTGACAGATGATGGAGAGGTGTTTTTCAGGACCTACTTACTGAGATTAATCTAAATTGTAGCCCCTGTTAATTCAGGGAACAAACCTGTGCGTTTTAGGAAAGACTTTCATGTGAATCCTTCTCCGTAGGTGGGTCAGGTCCGAGCGGTGTAACAAACATTGAACCCTGGATCCTCGGGCTGTCCCGTGTGCTGTGCTGCTGGGCTTCCTACCGCCACGTCCCCGGGGAAGGCTGGGCCTCTCCTTCCCTCTTTGCTTCTGCCCACAGTGAAAAAGCAGGAATATCCATCTCTCCAGATGTGTTTCCCCTTCCCATCTTCATGGGGTGCCTGGTTTAATCCACCTGAATTATCCTGCTTTTTTCTGGATGGATTAAAAGTCTTTCCTGGGATTTAGACTGCTCTGGCCTTACCTTTGAGGTGATGCTAGAGACCAGTGTCCTGGGCACCCGCTCTGCTCCCCTTTTCCCCCGCCCTGGTGCCTGGCATCCCTCAGCAGCAAGGACTCAGCTGGTCACAACCAGGAGAGCACTGTAGCCGTGTGCCACACGCTGAGGGACCAGGACAGTTCCGCTGCAGTAGCAGGGGAGGCACTGAGGCAGGGGACAAATCTGGGTGGGTGAGAGCTCAGAACAAAGGAAAAGAAACCAAACAACTTTATAAAATCACTGAGTGCTGGGTGAACCCAAAACCTCCTGATTTCTACCCATTGCGACCTCTCAAAGTCTGTCTTGAGGTGGGGCTGTGTCTCTGGAAGAGTTGGCAGCTTGGCCATTGTTGGAAGTGGAGCAGTTGGAGCTGGTGGTGCCTCTCGGTGGAATTTTCAGGGAATTCTTGCAGGAAAGGTGAGCGATCAGCTGCTGACTTGTCTGGAGAGGTGTTAGTGCTGGGGCGAGTTCTGTGTGTCACCTGGGTACTTGCAGAGCATCCTGTGCTCCCCTGGCTGCCTTCCCGACCTCCCTCTCCAGTAAAACCAGATCCAAACGGGAAGGAGGAGCAGTCTGGAGTCACCACCAGCAGTTCCCTCCCCTCTCACCGCATCCCTTTGGTCTTCACATTCCTTCACCCTGAGGGAGGTGAGCAGAGGAATCCCTTCAGTTTTCACTGGGTTTGGGTAGACTTCACTCAGTTAAACTTGCCAAAAGCTGCAGAAAGCTTGTAAAAACATTAGTGCCGAGGTGTGCCGGGCCGGGCAGCGCTGTGAGCCCCTGGCCAGGGAGTGTGGGACAAGGACACACCGTGCAGAGAAGCCACTTGCCCTGGAGAAACGTCACTGCTGGAGCTGAGATGCGTGGCTCTGCTCTCTGTGCACAGACACCCTCTGCGCTGGGGTGGGTAACGCCGCACGACTGCCTGTCTCATGAACAAATCTTTGTATGATGGAAAGCTCTGTACGGTTTATTTTTGTACTGACACCTCTAATCCTGGTGTGATTATCAGTAAATTCTGTAACGATCCAGGTGAACCGGGTTGTGTGTTTCTCCTGCAGCACAACTGGGGCTTTTGGAAACTCCTTGCTCCTGCCTCACACCGGGCAGGTCTCTCCCACCCAGGACCATGTGCACCAGGAAACATCCTGGTTCTGGTGGTTTCTGTTGTCTCCATCAGGGGCTGGACCTGTGCCTGCAGCCAGGCACTGCAGCCCAAAGTG